TGAGCCTGGTGGGATTTGAACAGCCGAACTGCTGAACTGCAGTCAGCTGAAGTAGCCTGCAGTGCTGCATTTAACCACTGCGCCACCTCGGCTTTTGCTTGATGGAAACTGCCTGAGGGGGTCACAAGTGGAGCTCACGTCACTGTGGGATGCTACTAATGGTCAGAAGGGCGACAGCCAGTTGTAAGTCCCTTTTTTTCAGCACTTTCACACCTTCAAATGGTCGCTAAATGAATAGTTATAAGTCAAGGACTACCTATAATGATACTCAATAATCACTGCCTATAGAAAACTAACTCATTGGTGAATCAATGTTACTGAGAACTTTTTACTGAGGTGCTATGGTTTATTCTGTATACAGGGTGCATATATAGGTAGTTCTCAACTTATGATCATAATGGAGCCTACCCAATATAGTACCATGTTTCTCCAAAAATAAGACCGGGTCTTATTTTCTTTTGACTCCCCCAAAATAAATGCTTGACCTTATTTTTGGGGAGGTCTTATTATTTTCGAGGTGCAGGGGACGGCGAGCCTGCTCACCTCATGGCTGCTGCCATGTTGCAATATTTTGGGGGTGGGCTTATTTTAGCACATGTGCTCAAAAGCTGGATTGGGCTTATTATCCGGGGAGATCTCATTTTCGGGGAAACAGGGTAGTAATGGTTGTAAAGCCATGCGACCCACCAGATTATACAATCTTTTTTCGCAGTGGCCGTTAAGCAAATCCATGGTTCGCTACGGGCACAGACAAAACCATCGTAAATTGTAGCCACATGACTGAAGGATGCTGCAAACCGCTTTAAATGCAACTGTGACGTTGAACATCCAGAGTTCAGTCACGTGGCCACATAGGGCAGCGTTGGGGAACCTTTTCTGCACCGAGGGCCAAAATGGGAGCACCAGAAACTGGAGGAGCAGCTTCATGGCGCACAGAAGTGCTAGGAACTGAAAGAGCAATTCCCCGGCATGCATGAGCATGCCAGTGATCTGGTCTTCCAGTTTCTGGAGCACATACCTGCGCAAAGAGTAGCATGTGCGCCAGGGAGCTTGTCTTCCAGTTTCCAGCACTCCCACACAGGTGAAGACCAGCTGGCCGGCAAGCATGTGTGCGTCAGAATTCGAAAGAGCAACAGCCGATGGCTGGCATGCCCGGATGACTGGTGTGCCACTTCCGGCACATACACTATATTGCCAAAAGTATTCGCTCACCCATCCACATAATCAGAAGCAGTTGTGAACGAATACTTTTGGCAATATAGTGTATGTTGTAGGTTCACTCATGGAAATAGGGAGACCAACCATCATAATTTTGAATCCAGGTTCATAAATAGCCCCAGAGTAGGTCTGTCATAACCTCGAATGGTTGCTAAGTCACCTGTCATAGGATTATTACAGGGAATATTCAAAAATATCACTTATATTCAACTACAATTGAATTTTTAGATCCTTGCAATTCTCCCCCCACCAAAAAAACCTGTTTAGGTGGAGAAAAAGAAGTTAGGAGCCAGAGCAGATAGTTTGATCAGAGGATTGCTGTTTGCAGGTAGTCCTCGACTTACAACAGTTCATTTAGTGACCATTTCAAGTTACAACAGCACTGATGAAAGTGACTTATATGGCCAATTTTCACACTTACGACCATTGCAGCATCCCCACGATCACGTGATCAAAATTCAGATGCTTGGTAACTGGTTCATATTTACGACGGTTGCAGAGTTCCCCAGGCCACGTGATCCCATTTAGCGGCCTTCCAATGAGCAAAGTCAATTGGGATGCAAGATTCACTTAACAACCGTGCTCCTAACTTAACACCTGCAGTGATTCACTTAACAACTGGGGCAAGAAAGGTAGTAAAACTGGGCAAAATTCCCTTAATAACGGCCTCACTTAGCAACGGACGTTTTGGGCTCAATTGTGGTTGTAAGCCGAGGACTATCTGTAGTTGTGCTGGGCAGATCCTGAAGAGGGGAGGAGAGAAGGAGAGGACATTTGCTGGAGACCAGAGGAAATCAGAATCAGAAGGGGAAAAGTGCTTACCGGTACCTTCATTTTAAAGTCATCGCGATACAGTTTGATGCCGATGTCAGCGATTGCCCTTTGGATGAAACGGGATGGCCGGAGGACAAAGACTAACTGCAGATTCCCGGGAAATGCTCCCTAAAATGATGACAAAAAGGGAAAGGGATCTGTTCTAAATCCTTAGTGCTCCAAAATACCTTTCAACCAGAGGTGGTTTGCTAATTTTTTTTACTACCGATTCAGGCGTGCGCGATGCTTCTCCGCATGCATAGAAGCGTCCGGGCGGGAAGGCGGAGCCTCTTTCCGCCGCTACTACCAGTTCAGCCAATCCAGGCCGAACTGGTAGCAACCCACCTCTGCTTTCAACCCTTTGAAGAAGAGGAAAAGCTCTGAA